AAAACAAGTAAAACACCTACACCATATTTACCGATTTCGTGTTAAACCAGCGCTTGCGCGCTTTAAAAATGCGCGCTGGGCATGCGCGGACATGCGCGAGCTTTGCATTGTGCATTCGGGACTCACCGTGCTTCGCCTTAAGCATTGGACCCAGGGATGCTCAATCCTTGGGCATCGGTGAAGCACGCGGATCCTCTGGGATAGTCATACGTTGGAGAAACGATAATGTTGATTTCGAAGAGTGCTCTCTCGAAGAGTGCTCCCCTATCAGTTGCTGCTCCTTATAACGCCTGTGCTCTTTTTGATGGTGGGAAAATAGTATCGCGACGGATGCGCACAATAGGCTTCGTTGGGACAGAGATGTCGCTCACAGGATGTGGGGTAGGAGGATCGCGCCGCTTCGCCGATGCATGGGCGAGGCGGCTAGATGTGACAGCCCCACTTTCTCCACGCCGACGTCACCGATGCATCACCGACGTCACCGGATTGCCGATGCATCGGGGATGCCTCGGCGATGCGGCGCGAGTTGTCGACCCCAGCTGTTCGGACCCCACAAAGGGAGGCCCGCTGGCCCCGGCGTGGCGCCCCGCGCGGGGAGCTCGGCCCGCCCTGCTCAGCGCCACAGGTAGGGGCCGAGGATGCGCAGTCTCGGGCGAGCGAGGCGTCGTTGGTCAGGTGGTACTGCAAGCTTGTTCGAGTCAAAAGGTGTCCACGGAGCATGGCACAATTTTGATGGAGGCTCTGAAGCATTTGAATCTGATGTCGCGCAGAGGAACGACATGTGAGGGCTGCGGCCCACGCGCCTTCCTTGCCCCGTGGGGGTCGGCCTCGTTGGCCGGACACGGCGCGCCTCGCCTCGCCTCGCCTCGGGCGAGCGAGGGCCGCTGCGAGTCCGGGTGAGCCCAGCCTCTCGCCCACTGACCCGCGTCATCCGATCCCCGTCTGCGGTGCTGCTCAGAGGAGGGCCAGCTGAGACTCGAAGAACAACAAGCTGCATGAGCATGAACTATCGGAGCTCCGCGCAGATTCCGTGGATCTGCGCTGAGCCCCCCTGGCGGCGCTTCTGGCGCGCGTTCCGTGCGGCGGGGAGGGCGGGCCCACCGCGGATCGGAGAAGTCCGCGCGGACCGCCAAAAGTTTATGTTCATGCAGTGTTTTGTTGCCCCTCTGGAGAGAGCGGTGGTTGGCCTTCGGGGATGCCCCTCGTCGCCACGGTTGGAGGTTGGACGCAGCTCGGAAAATTCATGCGTTTGGAACCTGGGAGGGGTGCTGTGACCGATTTGGAGCTGCCGTTGTCTCACCTCGCCCTGCTCCCTCTTTCGTTTGTACGTCTGCCGTGCGATGAGCGCGCTAGCGTAAATGTGCACCGATTGGCTTCCGAAATCCGGTACGTGTGTGCATCCCTCTGCATGTTCCACCCCGTTCCCTCCCCTCACTCCGCCCTCTTCCCTCCCCAATCGTTTCCCTCGCTCTCCCCTCGCTCGGCAGATGGGGTCCCACCCGTCAACTGAATGCACCATTGCCGAACCCTCTCCTCCCTCCCCCCACCTTTCTTTGCCCTGCCTCCCCTGCCTCCCTCCCCTTCCCCGCTCCCTTGCACTCTCATTGCCTCCCCGTGGCATGAGGCAACTAACGTCACTACGCATATGTATTTGGGGCTTGGGGCGGCCTGGGATCCCCCTCCGTCATGCCCCCGCTTCCCTCCAACGCTTCCTTCTCCCCTGCCCTCCGCTGCCCCCTCCCCCCCGTTCCCCTTGCATCTCCCCCCAAGCCCCTTCCCTGTCTTCCGCCCCGCCCACCCGCCTTCCCTTCGGCCGTGCCACCGGGGCCAGGCGCGTGAGAGCGAGTCCGAGACCCGCCGGCCCTGCGCAGCACGCGCGCAGGCCGGCGGGGGGACCCTGTGCTGCCGCAGCCCCCCCCCCTCTCCCCTTCGCCTCGCCGCCTCCCGATCCGTCCTCCCCGCTGGCACGGCCTCGCGGGCCGCCCCCCCCCGGCCTGCCCACCACCCAGGAGCTGGAGCTGCGGCGGTCGTGGCTGCGCCTCTGGAGGACGGATGCTGTGGGGGGGAATCGGGCCGAACGAAGGGGTGGGATAGGGGAAAGGGGGGGGTACGAAATCTGCTGCATGCAGCTAGTTTCGGCCCCGCCGCGGGGCCCATTCCTCGATGCATGGGCGCCTCCCAGCGCCGGGAGGCGCTGGGAAAATCAGCTACGTGAGCTGATTCTCTACCCTGCCCTTTGCTATCCCCCCCTTTCGGTCCCCCCCCGAGGGAAGGGCGCGGATCGAGGTCTGAGGCGGCTTCTCGGCTGGTCTTCGGGCCCCGGGCTGCGTTCTGTCTGCGGCTCCTCGTCGAGGGGCGCCCGAAGGTGCCCAGGCATCGTCCCGCACGGCCGCCCGAGGCCTGACCCACGGGCCGGAAGGCGGCCAGACGACCCCGGATGTTTCGGGAGGCCCCGAAGGCCCCCGAGAGCACCCCCCACGAGGCCCAGGGAAGCCCCAGAACGTCGACGAGACGTCTCGCCCAACCCGCGCCGACACCGACACCAAGGACTGACTTTTCCTCCTCCTCCCCCTCTCCTCCTAACTTTTTACATGTCTCGCATTGCATGAATCCAGACGCCTCAGATCCTAGAGGCCACGGCCTGACCCACCTGGTCTGCTCTAGGCTCTAGGCCCGGACGCTGTCCGCAACGGTGGTCGCATCGCATCGCATCGCATCGCAGGGGAGCCCCAGGGGCCCCAAGATGGTGCGAAGAGTAGGGGGGGGCACCTTGGGCCAGGGACGCCTGGGCATATTCCCGCTGCCTTGGTGACGAAGCAACGCCAGCGCGGGCTTTCAAGGTGCTCGGCGCGGAACCCATACGAAAGATGGGGTCGACGGCCTCTGCAGATTTTTGTGGAGAGAGACCGTTCAAGGCTGGACGGTTCGCGCGATGTCGGATGCCAGAGCCAGTTTGGTCTCGGCAAGAGCCGCACTGTTGCATTGCCCAAGAGAGATGGGACCACAATGTGTTGTGTTTGGGCATCTGCTATTGTTTGTTTTGCAGCCTGCTTGGATAATTAGTAGTCTGGTGTGTTGTGCTTGGATCATTTTGGCTTGCTGGATGACCGACTGAAAGGACGATGAGGAAATTTTGATTGGGGGAGAAGAGGAGGGGGTGAAGAAGGAGGAAGCCTTCTATGCCATCCAGATAATGTGTTCTTCATGAGTGCGCATGTTTGAATTGACGAAGCCACTGGAGTGCCCAGTTTCGAAAGATCGACTCTTCGTGCCGTCAACGTACTGCCACCCCTACTCGGCGGATTTGTACAGATACGTCATTTCCAGAAGAGGGCGTTCTTTGATCTTCTTGCGTGGTGGTGGGGGGGAATCAGTTTCATTTTGTCGAAGGAGGGAAGAGGTAGACAGAAATTTCGGAGCTCCTCGCTGAAGGGATCTCTTGAATCGGGCCTGGACCCCCCTCCCTGGCTCGCGGAGCGCGTCCGGGGCGACGCCAAACGCGCCGCCAGGGTTCACAACATCCGCGCGGAGCTCCGAGAGTATATGTGTGTTACGTACCTTGATCTTCCTATAGTTTGGTAAGCTCGAAGTCCTGGCTGAGTTGGGCCCGCAGGTGCATGCCAGCAGACTGCTGCATGATTGCTCGGCGTGATGGCATCGGCCGCAGCGCGCAGGGATGCGTCCCGAGCGCGTCAGCCAGCAGGTTCGCGCCGCGTCGACCAGCGGCGACCCCCTCGCTGGTGTTCAACGTTGAACGTCGCCAGCGACCCAGAATCGGTCGATGTTGAACGATCTGACGTCGCGGCAACGGCCGATCGTTCAAGGTTGACGATCTCTTCGGTGTCAGGAACCAACGCGGGGTTCGACACGACACGGACCTGCCGTATCCACACCCGTCGGGGAAGCACACTGCACAAACATGGAACTTCTCGGCGCGCCGCGCGGCTCTCTCGGACTGGCCCTGGGCCCCCCTCGCGCACCGTGCCACGGCCCGGGAGGGCCCTGGGCCGGGCACGGCGCAGTGGCGCGTAGACGCCACTGGTGCCCCCCCCCCCGCATCCCTGGCGCTGCGGAGCCACCACGAGCAGAGGAGCAGCAGCCTCCGCGCCCCCCTCCCCCGCTGCGAGGATCAGGGGCAACGACAGGGGGGGCTGGGCATGTGTTATGTGGTTCCAAAAGGGACCCCAGGGAAAGGGACTTGTGAGACGGACGATATGCTGATTTCTCAAGTCCGCTCGGCTTGGCCCACAAGGCTGCTGCACGACGCTCTTCCTCGCACTTCCCGAAGTCTCAGATGCATTTCCCTGGCGTCCCTTTTTAGGAAACGTATCAAGATAGGGGGGGGACGCATCGACCCCTCTTTCCAGTAGAGGGAAACATTGAGTGGGCACTCCCCCTCTGCCCCCAACCTCGAGGTCGGCACGCGCGGAGGAGACTGCTGTGGAAGAGCAACTCATCAGACCCACCGCCAACTTTGGACATTGGGGGGAGGGGGAGGCGGTGACCGATGAATGTGGCATGACTGCTCGCTATTTCTCTCCGAGGCCTGTCGCCCAATGATCGCCGATAGGGGTCTGATAGCCCCGTCCCGCCCAGGAACGTGCGGATTTACCAACGGGGGGCCTACGGCCGATCTATCGGCGAGGTATCGCCGATTCCAGGTCGATGGTTTCCCCCCTATGCCAGACCCCCCCCCCTCTCGTCGCCCCTCAGAGGAAGTGCGCGGCCGCGGTGTCGGCGCGGCGGCGGCGGGAGGCCGCGCAGGCGCTCCTGGTGCAGCTCTCGCGGCAGCGGAGCTGGATCGACCGGTGGGTCGAGGCCCAACGCCTTCTGCGCTTGTCGGGGGGTGTCCAAGAGGGGGATGCTGCCTAAAGGGGCGCGTGGACAACCCCTTCTTGTGTCAGTCGTTCCATTATTTGGATCATCGCTATTATTCCTTTCCTTTGTCTTCCTCTTCCCCTTCTCATTTTTCTTTTCCTTCTCGTAATTATTTCATGTTCCCTACCCCATCCCCCTCGTTCGCGCATACGCCTCGGGCCATGATGCGCCCCCCCCCATTGCCTTCCCCGCCCCCTCTTGGGCGCCTCCTCCGTCTGCTCACCCAGCCAACCTCCTGCGCGTCAGGCCTTCGACGCTTTCGACTGCTCTTGGAGTCTGCCAGCTTCCTGAGCTCTCGACCCTGTCCCCGGGCCGTTTCGTGGCGGCTCCATAGCCCTCTGATGTCGAGCATGATGTTCCCGGTGCAGCTGTCGCGGCAGAGGAATTGGATTGGCCAGAGTGTGAGCGGTTGAGCTTGGGTAAGTCTGAGCATCTGGGTATGATGGAGTATGGCATCGAGTGTGCCTGAATGAGTACGAGTGGGTCTGATTGTGATCGATTCTGGGCGTCAGTGACTCGGTACGGGTGAGTATTATATTAAATTGTTAGCACTGGCGAGTGAACGTGGATGACTGAGTCGGATCTTGAGTTTTCAGTCTTTGTATTGCCTGACCTCTAGTGAACCTGAGCGTGAGTGATTGGAGATGGGCGAATTCTCGTTCAATGTCAGTCATTATCCAAGTGCGACCCTACCTAGGAGTTGGAGCCTCTAGGAAAGCAACATTAGTAGGAGAGGTCAAGGCCGTCGTCCTCCTTTTCCTCATCGTCGTAGTTGTAGCAGTAGCGGTAGTAGTAGCGGCTTACAAACGGCTCAGTCATGGAACATACGTGCGCGCACACACACACATATATATATATATATATATGTAAGTACATGTATATTTATATATACATACATATATCAGCAGCAATAGTGGATGGTGTGTTGCGCTATGCTATGCTATGCTGCGCAATGCTATGCTGGGCTAGGCTATGCTATGCTATGCTATGCTGCGCAATGCTATGCTGGACTAGGCTAGGCTAGGCTATGCTATGCTATGATATGCTATGCTGCGGTGTGCTATGCCAAGCTAAGCTATGCTATGCTATGCTATGTTGCGCTATGCTATGCTATGTTGTGCTATGCGATGCTGCGCTATGCTATGTTATGCTGTGCTGTGCGATGCTATGCTAATGCCGCGCTAAGCTGAGCTGAGCTGAACTCAGTTAAGCTAAGCTAAGCTAGGCTAGGCTAGGCTAAGCTAAGCAAAGCTAAGGTAGGCTAGGCTAGGCTAGGCTAAGCTAAGCTAAGCTAAGTTAAGCTAGGTTAAGCTAAGATGAGATAAGCAAAGCTACGCTGAGGGGGCGCAACTGGGGGAACCGCGGGGCGGATGCCGGGGGAACCGCCCGGGGCGCTTTCCACTGCCCCGCCCCTTTCAGCTAAGAGAGTAAGAACCCTCTAGGCAGAGCCTAGGTAGGGAACTTGCAATCGACGCTCATATTTGGAGTGCTCAGAACTACTCACATTCATATTCGGAGTATAGGCGTGCGTGAGTCTGAATGTGAGTGTATGAACAAGTATGGGCGAAGGAAACAAAGCTTCTGAGTGATGTCGAACGAGAGAATACCGGAAAGAGGGCGAGGGTGAGGCGTGCATTTCACAGGGTCATGTCCTCAGTTAGACCAGCGCATCAGATGTCTGAGCATAAGGTAGCGAGAAATGTTGGAAGGTTCGCGCGGATTTATTGGGTCGGCGCTGAACCCCACGTCGATCATTTGACGCTAGAGGTGCCAAAGTCGGGGTTGGGAGACGTCAAGCGCCAAGCCGTAAATCCGCTCGGACCTCTGGAAGTTTCTTTTCACGCAATCTGTTTTCCACGCCGACCATTCCCCTTCTTGCCAGCGCGCCTTCTTTCTCTTGCAGTCACACCATCTTTACCTTGCAGTTGAAACCGATGGCAGTAATGGGTAATCTTCCCAAGAGCACCCTTGCATCGTTGCCTCTTCAATCCATTCTTGACCACTTTCGGTGACCCGCCGCGCTCGAAAAAGCTCCAACATGGGCGTCCAAGGGGCTTGCATCCTTATCGCGCATACTTACTATCGGTTTCGACTGTGCTGCCAACGCTGTAACGGCAACGCACCACTGGCCTCTGCCGGTCTGGCTGCCCCTCCCTCTCGCTCGCTCCCTGCGCCGCCCCTCGCCGAAGCCGCCCCCCCTCCATTTGCCCTGGAGGCCAGATCGCGGCAGCGCATGCTATCCGTGGGCCGGGAGCCCCGCGGCCAAAGGGGCGGGGGCTTGAGGTTCCACGGAGGCTCGGTCGGTATGGTAATATGGTCGGCACGGGTGCGGAAAGAATGGGCACACGGACCGGCAGCAGTTCTTGTTCATGCTGGGCGATACTCGCTGCCGGTGTCGCCGCGGACGCTGCCCATTTGAGACAGATGGCCGCCTGCCCAACCGCCGCCACTGCCGGTGTTGGACAACACCTGTTGATGGGCATCGCGCCCAGGTTTTCCGAATCCATTTCGGACGGCCAAATTTGGGGGTCCGTTGCGCCGGGTTGGAGCGGAGGCGAAGCTGTTTTTTTGTGTCTTCTATGTTCAAGTGCCCTCTCCCGATGCGAGAGCCACTCCGAGAGAATGAAGAGGAGAGCGACGGCGCCATCCGCCCGGGCAGGCCATGAAGGTTGGCCGAGCTGGAGTCTTGGTTGTCTGTCTGTCTGTCTGCCTGTCCGTCTGCATGTTTGTCTGTCTGTCCGTCTGTCTGTCCGTCTATCTGTCTGTCTGTCTGTCTGTCTGTCTGTCTGTCTGTCTGTCTGTCTGTCTGTCTGTCTGTCTGTCTGTATGTTGGACTCGCGGTGTTCCGCGTCATGGCCCTCGTCCCCCGGGCGCGGCTGGGGCACGCCCTCGGGGCGTGGCTGGGGGGCGCCCCAGCGACGTGGGAGCCCGAGAGAGAGTCTGTTTGTGTGTTGTGTGTGTTGTCTGTGTTGTGTGTTGTGCGTGGTGTGTTGCGAGTTGTGTTTGTGGGTGGGGGGGGGGGGGATAGGCGGGGGGGGCGCGCGCGTCTCTTCGCCCGATCTTTCTCCGTTGCCCCTCTGCACGTGTGGCCGCGACGCCAAGTATTGTGTGTGTGAGAGAGAGAGAGTGTGTGTGTGTGTGTGTGTGTGTGTGTGCGTGTGTGTGTGTGTTTGCGTGAGTGCAAGATTGTGTTGGACCTTCTTGGGGTCTCTCAGGGCGCCGTGGTGTCCGCGGGAATGTTCCCCTTGGACTTCATGCCAGGGACCGCACCAGGACATGTCCAGGGGGCGACATTTCGGCCTGTGAAGCACGCCCCTGCCGACTGAAAGAGTTGTGCACATATGATTTCTCGTCGTTCTCTCGGAGGCCAGAGGCTGTCTCTAGGGCCCGGCACCATCCACGAATACTACAGGAGGAAAGCGCAGTTCCAGGGAAAGGGTTGAGAGGTCCAGGGGAAGCCAAACGTATCTCAGAACCGACGTACCTTGGAGAGGGGGTATCAGGACCCACCTTTGGGCGCCCAACAGCTGCGTTTTAGCGCCCACCGTGGTTGGAACCGCGGCCGCTGCGACACGTTTGGCCTTTTCCCCAAAGAGTTCCTGGGCCACCGGAGGTATGAGGAGGGGATGAGGGTGAGGGGGATGGATTGCCATTGTTGGGCGGTCAGAGAGAGAGAGAGAGAGAGAGAAGGAGAGAGAGAGAGAGAGAAAGAAAGAAATAAATACATAACACAACAAACATAAATAAGGAGAACAAATAAGGTGACCAGGTGGGTGCCGAACATCAATGCATGCAGCCTTTTCGATGCAAGGCCGCTGCTGGCGTATAAAGGCACCTGAATTAGCAGTTGCACAGTGTTCAGTTGATTCGCCAAACCCCCCATTTCGTCCACCCAGGTTGAAGCGTGAGGAGGGGCGGCGGAGGGGAGAGGCAGATTGCCCAACGGGGGCTCGGGACCCCACGCCTCCAGTAGCTGTCGCCCGCTCTTGCCAATATGTTTTCCCTACCCCTGTTGGCTCCCCGTCTGTTTCCCCCGTTTCTGTTCCTCGTCCCTGGGGACGGGGGCAAGAGAGAGTGGCGTTTCTGTTTTCTTCAGAAAAGGAGCCCCTCGCCGTCACGCGGTGCTGAGCGGGGGCTAGGATGATTACGCCGTGCCGCGAGAGGGGCGCCCAGTCGACTGCAGCAAGATATACAATGATGCGCTGAGTCGCCCGATTGCGCTGCCAGTCGTGCAGGCGTTTGCTGTTTCGGGGGGCCTCCCTCGCCTCTCGAAATCCCCCGTTTCCTGTTTTAGTGACGCCCGCCTCCCGACGCCTTTCTGCCGGGACAAGCGCTGCACCCTGGAGAACTTTCCGATGGTCCGGGGGCCCGAGGCGAGCCCACCGGAGGCAGAGGGAAAGGAACGACCAGGCGTCGCGATATTTCTCGTGACGCCAGATGTCTGGGTCGTGCCCCTTCCACGCGACGTCCGTGCTCGGCCCGCCGTCCCAGGTGGCCGTGAACTGGGACGTCACGGGCCGCGACGTCCTCCGCCTGGCCATCATGGCCCGCGGGTTCCCTTGCGATCAGACAGTGGGCGGGCATCCCGTCTCCTCGGGTCCTCTGGGCTCTGGCGGCAGCTAGAAACAGTTATCTTGGCGAAGGGCCCAGCCATGTGCAGCTGTGAGTACCGCCTTGCAGGTGATACGAAGGAAGAGGCACGAACAAATTGCGAGCGGCGTAGGGTTTGGCCATCTCCTCATGGGCAACGAGCCACACATTGGATGGAATTGGAGCCAGCGCGTGTAAGAGGCGGCGGACGGAGCAGGAGGTTCCTGCGGTGCGGGTACGCGCAATCAGTGAAGATGTTTCTGGAGACGTAGCATTGGGGGGGCGCAGCAAACAGTCATGCAGGTACAGAAAGGAGTGAGGGCAGGAGGAGCAGCAGCAGGGGCGAGACCACGGGGAACACGCGGGCGGGAGGCGTTTGTATGTTGCCTTGCGCCGCAGTAAAAACACCACCAGAATGTGAAGGCGATGTCAGGGCCCTACGGGGCCACGACGCGTCTAAGGGGTGTGCCGAAATGGGGCCGAGGCCGCCATGTGGCCGTTACCACTAGACCTTCCGTGGAGTTGTTCCGTCCGCGAAAGGTCATAGGGTTGGGACGACATGAGGGGCGGCCGTAATGCGACAGTTACCACGGGGGCCTTCGGTGGAGCTTGCTATGAAGCCACGAAGCGTAGTGCGTGTGTGCGCGCGTGTGTGTGTGTGTGTGTGTGCATGTGTGTGCATGTGCGTGTGCATGTTTGTGTGTCTGTGTCTGTGTGTGTGTGTGCGTGTGCGTGTGTGTGTGCGTGTGCGTGTGCGTGTGCGTGTGCGTGTGTGTGTGTGTGGGTGGGGGGGGGGGAGTGTGTGTGTGTGTGTGTGTGTGTGTGTGTGTGTGTGTGTGTGTGTGTGTGTGTGTGTGTGTGTGTGTGTGTGTGTGTGTGTGTGTGGGAGTGTGTGTTTGCGTGCGTGTCGGGATGAGGGATTGCTGCCATGCGACCGTTGCCGCGCGTGAGGGGCGTGGAGGGGGAGATGGGAGGCGGGGGGAGGGGCCGCTGGGCGCTGCTTTCTCAAAACGAGGACCCAAGATCACATGCCGGTTGGGAGCAAAAACAAATTGCGTCGGCATTAGGTCCGCGAGGAGTTCTTGATTCGGCGTTGGCCCCCCTCCCCACGACCGGGCGCCTCTGGCACCCACCCCCTGTCTCGCTTCGCTTTTGGAAACTGGCCGTGGGAAGAGGGGTTGCGCCAAGATCCAGGAAACCCGCGCCGACCCGCGCCGACCTCAGAAGGTGTCTGACTCGCTGGACAAACGCTTTGAGAAGACCGCGGCGCCCGAGGTAACCCCCCAGAGCCGCCAGATCTCGGAGATTCTCGATGCATCATAACCCGATGTCATCCTCGTCATGGCGTCGTCTTACTGGTCCGATAACTTCAAGGTCCAGAAGACCTCACAGGGCTCACAGGGCGGTCCGTCTGTATTCGCACAATTTCGAAGTCTTCTTCGGACGCCCCAAACGTCGGAGACGTGCTCCGAGGCCGTCCCAAGTCCCAACCACGGCCCGCTCGTCTCGAGCCACCTTGAAGTCATCAGGCGGCGAGGCCACCAGGTCGTTTTAGGACCCCGAGCTTGCCCCCGCATCCTCCGTCCTCCTCCGTCCTCCTCCGTCCTCCTTGCGCCTCCCTCCGACCTCCTTCACTACTCCGAGGCTACTGCGAGCGCTCCTTTTCCAAGGAGCTTCGCCGCATACTGCGGGTTCTCGCCTCCGAGCCTGCGGCAGCTTGCCATAGCCATTTTGGCTCAAGTTCCGACGTTGTCTCCGACGCTGGAGCTTGAAATGCAGCCGAGTGGGCGGCGCAAGGGACCTCGTGTACTCAGTTTTCCGCGCTTCCCCACAGCTGCCCCCCTGGGCAGGGGATAGAGCACGCAGCCACGTTTCGCTTAGCGCATGCTTGTTTGGGTGCTGATTCCCGGGATCAGCGACAGGAATGCCGCCGAAAGGAGTGCGTGCGCTTGCAGCCTGGGCAGGGCGTGGTCCTGCTCGCGCGGGACCAACGACAACTTCGGCTGGAGGACCCAGCGCAGGACGTGCGGCAAGGCGGCCCCGCGGCAGGTATGGACATTCACCGACGTCGCAGGGGCGCCTGGCAAGCGCGAGAACTAGCTATCCGCGCAGTTGGCGCAGTTGCAGGAGAAGTTCGGCACGCTGGTCGGTTCGCAGGCACCAGCGGTGCCGGCCAAGGCCGAGGCCGACGTGGACATCCAGCAATTGTTCAAAGAGCACCAGTCCTTCCTCAAAAAGTACGGTGAGGACGACCTGGTCACCAAGGCGGTCGGGGCCAAGCTCGAGCCGACCGCGACAAGGCGAAGCCGGTTGGGTTGCTGGTGCAGCAGGCGGAAAGGCGCCAGGAGCAGATGTTCAGGGCGGAGGCTGCGGCGGAGGAGCGGCCCAACACGGCCCAGGAGCAGGTGCATCTGCCCAGGCCGACCTGGACGCACGCCGGCTGCAGGCGGCCGAAGGAGCAGCCAGACTTACGGAGCTCAAGGCCAACCAGCTGCTAGCCGCCGATTCCGAGTCCAACGCCACCTACGCCCTGCTGGCCTCCGCCAGCGCCGCCTTCGCAGCCAGCGGAGACCAGCCCGAAGTTTTTCAAGCCCTCGACGCGGCAGCCCAGGCGGCTCAGGGCAAACCAGTGCCTCTTCGCCCTGGTATGGTGCCTCGCCGCGCCGCTGGTGCGCGGCCAGGTGGTGGAGGAGGCGCGGCTCCAGCAGCAGCCCATGAACCTGCCATGGAGGTGGACCCGGAGTCCGCCGGGGTCTACACCAGAGGAGCAGGCTTGGATGGCCGACGGGGGACCAGGCGCAGAAGCATGCGACGCCAAGATCAAGTAATAGCGTGAGCAGTGCGCCTACATGTTGGAAGGGCTCAATGAGAGACCACGGCGCGGGGAGGCCCGCGCAGGAGGAGAGGAAATGTCTCGTCTTTTGGAGCTTCGACGGGCCCAGCTGGGGCACTCAAGGACCGCTTTCTCGACGCCACGGGGACGCGGCAGTTGCTCACAAAGCAGGCGCACGCCTTGGTCCAGGACAAGTTCGAAGGCGTGCGCCAGTCCATGCTGAGGCAGGGCTGGCAGCCGGGGGGGGTCCCAGCGGCGGTAACTGGCACCGCGAGCGGCCACGCGGGCACCTCGGCAAGGGTCTCCATCGCGGTGCCCAAGCACATGAGCGCTTCTTATTCGAAGGACTCTCGGGGCATCGCGCCCAAGGAGGCACCTGGCAGGGGGGCCGGCACGTGGATCACAGCAGGTCGAGGCGTATTGTGCGCGTCGGTCTGTCTCTGGACGGGTGAAGGCGTGAGCTTCCGTAGCCAAGCTTGGCCGGCAGAGCTCATGCGCAACGTGGCCACCTCGGCGCGGGCTTCGGCAGTCGACTTCGGCAAGCGCCGAATGTCTTGTGCGAGGAGGTCCGCGTGCACATCGCCGACGGCGTCATCGGCGCTCTGACATCGGAGTTGGGTGTGTACGCAGTTGGCGTTTCCCGCCTAGCTTTTAGCGGGAGAGGTTCGCTCTCGCCCCGCAGATCAAAAAAAGTGTACGCGGTTGGCGAGCAGGTGGCAATGTGTCGGGGCAGAGGAGGAATTGCCGTCGGCGCCGCACAAGCCAGCGAGGCAGCGTCTGAGCATTCGCGTGGCAGTGCAGTACATGGGCGTGCTGGTGCGGCGTCAGAGGCTGGATGGTCAGCCGGCGGGGGGCGCCCCGCAGCCGCCAGAGTGCGAGGCAGCGAAGCCTTCCACTTGCTGGGCCGTGGCCACCGCAGAGTACGCCATGGTGTTTGGCGGCCGTCGAGAAGGAGGCACTCGCCCCGCGGCGCCTGAAATGGCATTCCGACGACCCGCGAGCGGGGAGAGGTACCGCGCCACGATGGCGCTCGCAGGAGGTGCAGCCCCACATAGGAGGAACCAGACCGCACGCCGCGGCAGGTCTTCCTTCGGTACGAGGCCACAAAAAAGGAACTTGCGCCGCAGAAAAGGACCCGCGGGTCAGCTCAGGCGCGCTGCTTGCCCTGCTACATACTTCTGGTAGCCACGGTTTCGGCAAAAAACAGAATTCATTGCGAGCCCAGCAACAACAACCTCCTGCGCCTCCCCTCCCCCTTTCACCTGTAGAAAGAAACTGGGGCGAGGAACGGGAGGAGGAGGATGAGGAAACGAGGGGGAGGGGGTGGGGAGGAGGAGGAGGAGGAGGAGGAGGAGGAGGAGGAGGAGGAGGAGGAAGAAGAGGAGGAACAGGGGGAGGCGGAGGAGGAGGAGGAGGAGGACGAGGAGGAGAAGGAGGAGGAGCACGATGACAAGGAGCACGAGGACGAGGAACACGAGGACGAGGAACACGAGGGCGAGGAGGAGGAGGAGGAGGAGGAGGAGGAGGGGGCAGAGGAGGAACAGGAGGAGAACCAATGTAAACCTAAGAGTCATCATCGATGATGGAATTAACCATCCCTCCAAGCTCCCTCTTCATAGGCCCCTACAACGGTTCATTTCCATTGAGGGAACTGCTTCGTTGGAAAACAACCATTTGAAGACTTTGAAGCGTTCCACACATTGTTTTCGGGATTTCCACGGCACGGATCAACCTGACTGCTGCGTACTGATGATCTGGAATCGTGCCATAACGCCGGTTTAGGGTCTTCAACACCGCGAATCAACCTGAGTGCTTCACCCGCGTAATCCTGAATCATTCCAAAACGCACTTTCTGGTACGTTGATCATGAGAGTCCGTATAATTCTGGCAATATTTGAAAACGAATGTGCGCGGCGCTGGGGCGAGAGCCACATTTTGAAAAAGGAACCGCCCTCAATGTGTACAGTTCTTGCACATTTGTTAAGCCGAATGTGCGCGGCGCTATGGCGAGAGCCACATTTTGAAAAACACCCGCCCTCTGTCCGTGAAGCTCTTGAGCATGTGTTAAACAGAATGTGCGCGGCGCTAAGGCGAGAACCACATTTTGAAAAACACCCGCGCTTTGTCCGTGAAATTCTTACAAATTTGGTAAACCGAATGTGCGCGGCGCTAAGGCGAGAGCCGCATTTTGAAAACCACCCGCACTCCATTTGTGAAGCTGTTGCCTTTGTTTCAGCTTCAGAGTCATAAGTGGTGAGGAAGTCTCAGGCGAAAGGCGCGGCCCGCCCTAAACACTGGCCTCGGGGTGTGACAGGGAGAAGTTACTTGTAAGGAAAAGGAATGGAGGACGAGTTGCAGGAGGAGGGGGCGAGGACAACACAAACAAACGAGGAGGACAGGGGACGAGGAGAAGGATAGAGGACGAGGAGGCGGATGAGGACGAGCAAAAGGCGGGCGAGGCGAGGACCCTCCCCGCGCGCCCGGGGCGCAGGCCTGGTCCGGAACGATGGGGCTTTACGAGCGCGGCAGGAGGGCGGCGGAGGCCGTCGCGCAGCGGCGCAGGTGGGCGCCCCCGCGGGAGCCTCGACGGCGGCGACCACCGCGGCGACGCCGCGATTGCGATGGCAACAACGGCGGCGATGCTTCGTCCGTCGCGCGCCTCCTCCTCAGAAGATGAGAAAGGTACTCATGCCGCTACCCTTCTCTCGTCTTCGCCGTTTGGGCCTCCTTGGAGGCCCGCATGGCCACCGCTAGACTCGCCTCGAGATTCTGGTCAGAACGCACCGTGGGAGAGGTCCAGGGAGTAGCGGTATCGGTACCTTTTGGTTTCCCAAATCCCTCGCCCTCCTCGCATTCCTTCCCCTTCCCTCCTCACCCTCGCCTCCTTCGCCACATCTTCACCCTCCCCCCGCCCCTAATTGAATCCTCCAGCAGGTGCGACTATCGGCACTTTTTTCTGGCATCCGAGCTTTGGCGGCTGCAGAGTTCTCGCCCTGAACGGAGGGGGAATCGGTTGCGACTGCACGTTGCACGTTGCTGATAAGGCTCCGATGAGCGGCCATGCCAACGCCGGCGTTCAACGGTGAACGACCTCCCACGGTCAAGGGGGGCTGCTTCGGGCCCACGGGCCCGAAAGTTGTGGCGGGCACAAAGCAACTGTGGATTTCCGAGGGAGGAGATCGCTCAAGATGGACTGGCTCACGCGGTGCCGTGCGTCGTCTGGGAAAGAACCTGCCGTGGGATTTCCAACAGCGGAGATCGGCCAATGCTGAAGGGGTTACGCAGTGTCGGAAACCAGGGGCCGCGTCGTCAGGGAAGAAATCGGTTGTGCTTGCAGCAGCATGCCGCCGCACACGTTCCAGGGTCTCTGGCAGGCAAATGTGCCATCCCCCTGCCTCTTCAGAACGCCCGCCTGCCCGACCGATCGACCGCTCCCCCTGCCTGCCAAGGGGGGAGTCCACATCTTCCAGCACCAGCATGAGCAGCAGCAGCAGCAATGATATTCAAGGGAGGAAGAATCACCCAGACCCCGACAATTGGCGTTTTACTCGACGTTCCTGGGCGTTTACTAGACAGCCCTGCCCCTGTTCGATTCTTTCCTTGGATGCGTTTATTAAACGGCTTCGATTGTCGGGGTGAATTATTACGGGGGGGGATTTCCTGAACCCTAGAGATGAGGATAAGGAGGAGGATGGCCTGTGAGATGGGGTAGAACGAACGTTACAATCCCAGCTGATTCAAGTTAGCCCTTTGTCCAATGGGGATCGGAAAGCCTCCTCCCGCTCCTCGCTCCCTCCCCCCATCTCCCACCTGTCAGGACACCTCCAGAAGAGCAGCAGCAGGGACAGGAGCAGGACGAGGGCAGCTGCCCAGGTTTCCTGAATGCACGGGACGCCCATTGGTCAACGTCGTCGTCCTCCTCCTCCTCCTCGACGTCCGTCGTCGTCGTCGTTCACGTCGTCGTCGTCGTCCTCCTCCTCCTCCTCCTCCTGGACGTCCGTCGTCGTCGTCGTCCTCCTCCTCCTCCTCGACGCCCGTCGTCGTTGTCGTCGTCGTCCTCCTCCTCGTTCGTCGTCGTCGTCGTTCTCGTCGTCGTCATCGTCGTCATCATCGTCGTCTGTTGTCGTCGTCGTCGTCGTCGTCCGTTGTCGTCATCGTCGTCGTCGTCGTTCTCGTTGTCGTCGTCCGTTGTCGTCATCGTCGTCGTCTGTTCTCGTCGTCGTCGTCCGTCGTCGTCGTCCTCGTCGTCCGCTGTCGTCGTCGCTGTCGTCGTCGTCGTCCGTCTTCGTCCGTCTTCCTTCGTCTTCCTTCGTCATTCGTCGATTGCACGTGGCCCCCACAGGCACTCACGATGTCTTCGCCCCCGTGGCCTTCCCCCTATTTTTCTGCTGCTGGCCCCGGGTCCCCTTGCGGGCCTCTGGAAGAGGCGTCTCAAGAGCTCGGGGAAGCATTGCCTGGGGGGAATCTCGAACTTTGGGGCTCCATTCCACCACAAAAATACGTAGCACCCCTCAATTGCGGATAAGAGTGAGGGGGCGGGCGCGTGCGACGCGGGCGTCCAGCCGGCGGACTTTGTGGCCCTCACGAATGCAAAAGAAGCCCGCCGCAGGCGCCGAAAATTTTGGGTGGGTCGCGGGGTGGGTCGCGGGTGGGTCGCGGGTGGGTCGCGGTGGGTCGCGGGTGGGTCGCGGGTGGGTCGCGGGTGGGTCGCGGGGTGGGTCGCTGGTGGGTCTCGGGGTGGTTCGCCTGTGTGTCGCAGGTGGGTCGCCGATGTAAAAAAAACCCGCCGCAGGCTCCGAAGTTTTGGTTTGTTCAGTGAACGTAGTTTGGGTCGCGGGTGGGTCGCGGTCTCTGCAACTCCACCTGGAAGGAATTCAAAAACAGGCCGCCGCAGGTGCCGAAAATTTTGATTTGTACACTGAACGCGGTTTGGGTCGCGGAAGGGTCGCAGGTTCTCCACCTGGAACGAATGCAAAAGAAACCCGCCGCAGGCGCCGAAAATTTTTGGTGGGTCGCGGGGTGGGTCGCGGGGTGGGTCGCGGGTGGGTCGCGGGTGGGTCGCGGTGGGTCGCGGGTGGGTCGCGGGTGGGTCGTGGGTGGGTCGCGGGGTGGGTCGCGGGTGGGTCGCGGGTGGGTCGCAGGTGTGTTGCGGGTGGGTCGCCGGGGAGGTCTCGGGGTGGAGCGCGGGCGGGTCGCGGGGTGGGTCGCGGTTGGGTCGCGGGTGGGACGACGACAACAAACAACAAACAACCGCAACAACAACAACAACAACAAAAACAATAATACATCTAAGACTGATCGCCCTTATATGCTCGAGTGTCCAATAACGCGTATTCCCAAACCCTCGATACCCGCGCTCGTCGTTTTCGATCGAAACCCTTTTCGGGGGTATACTTTTCTTCCCTGCAGGCCGGGCCCCGGCAAGCGGCGGGGCGGCCGCGGACCGTCGGCCTGGCCAGCGGCAGCGGTGATCGGCGGGGCGGCCGCGGACCGTCGACCCGACCCCAAGAGGGACGGACAGGGGACCGACCACGACGACGACGCCGACGACGACGACGACGACGTCGAAGACGACGGCGGCGACGACGACGACGGCGACGACGAGCGAAAGCGAGAGCGAGAGAGAACGACAGCAGGGCCACGAAGGGCACGAAGTAGGCCACGAAGGGTGACAGCGGGGACACGAAGGAAATGCGTATGGGGCCACGAAGAGCGCGAACGAGCGGGGGCCACGAAGTGCAGATAATGCGGGGCCACAGAAGGCAACTGTGGGCCACTGAGGGTAGCAACTGGGCCGCGTAGGACAGTGAAGGGGACACAAATGGCGATAGCGGGGCCACGAAGGGCATGCACATGGGGCCACAACGGGCGCGACTCCAGGGTGCCTGGGTGTCGGGAGCGCGGCGCTTGGGCAAATTGCCGGAAATTCCAACGCAAGGGCATTCTTCAGTAAGTTGCAAACAACTCTCCAGCGAAAGCGCGACTCCAGAGCGCTGGGAAGGCGATTCCTGAATACATTACAAGGAAGTCCCAAGCGAGAGCGCGATTCCGGAATCAAGTGCGAGGAAGTCTCGGGCGGGAGCTGGGGTCCTGGCTAAATGGTAAGGAGGTGTCAGGCGGGAGCCGTTGTTGTTGTAACCCGGGGGCCAGGGGCCCAGTTTGAGCATCAAGACTTTCCCTGTCAAAAGACAGGGTGCGAGCGTCGAGAGGCACACTTTGATTGAGAAAAGCAGTATGCACCGGTGGGGGGATCAACAACAATCATTTTACAGAAATGATAATTTAACAATTATTTTGATACCGTTCGCCCTTATATGCTCGAGTGTCCAATAACGCGTATTTCCCAAACCCTCGATACCCGCGCTCGTCGTTTTCTATCGAAACCCTTTTCGGGGGTATACCTTTCTTCCTTGCAGGCCGGGCCCCGGCAAGCGGCGGGGCGGCCGCGGACCGTCGGCCTGGCCAGCGGCAGTGGTGATCGGCGGGGCGGCCGCGGACCGTCGACCCGACCCCAAGAGGGACGGACAGGGGACCGACCACGACGACGACGACGACGACGACGACGTCGAAGACGACGGCGGCGACGACGACGACGGCGACGACGAGCGAAAGCGAGAGCGAGAGAGAACGACAGCAGGGCCACGAAGGGCACGAAGTAGGCCACGAAGGGCGACAGCGGGGACACGAAGGGAATGCGTATGGGGCCACGAAGAGCGCGAACGAGCGGGGGCCACGAAGTGCAGATAATGCGGGGCCACAGAAGGCAACTATGGGGCCACTGAGGGTAGCAACTGGGCCACGTAGGACAGTGAGGGGGACACAAATGGCGACAGCGGGGCCACGAAGGGCATGCACATGGGGCCACAACGGGCGCGACTCCTGGGCGCCTGGTTGTCGGGAGCGCGGCGCTTGGGCAAATTGCCGGAAATTCCAACGCAAGGGCATTCTTCAGTAAGTTGCAAACAACTCTCCAGCGAAATCGCGACTCCAGAGCGCCGGGAGAGCGATTCTTTAATACATTGCAAAGAAGTCCCAAGCGAGAGCGCGATTCCAGAATAAAATGCGAGGAAGTCTCGGGCGGGAGCGGGGGTCCTGGCTAAATTGCAAGGAGGTCTCAGGCGGGAGCCGTTGTTGTTGTAACCCGGGGGCCAGGGGCCCAGTTTGAGCATCAAGACTTTCCCTGTCAACAAACAGGGTGCGAGCGTCGAGGGGCACACTTTGATTGAGAAAAAACAGTATGCACCGGTGGGGGGGATCAACCATAATTATTCTTCAGAAACGAAAACTCAACAGCAACAACAACAAGATTCCACATCGCGGAATTCCACTTCAGCCACGCACCCAGGGACAGTGAATGACCGTTCGGGTCAGCCCCCCTCACTTTTGATTTTTATTTGTTTATATATTTACACACAGACACCCTCCAATGGATTGCTGCTGGGTCTCAGGGGAGGATGGCGGTGTATGAACCACCACTGGGAGCCAGCGGTTTCTTTACCTCCAGTTGAGGAAACATGCAAAGGTCGTCGGAGGGTGTCTGTGGACATACATACATATATCAATCTGCCCACGCCCGTGGCGTATTCAGGCTTTGCTTACGTACCCACTTCTGCTCGGAGGTCTTGGGCAGGAGGGAGGTTCGGCGGCGCCCCTCAAGCGGCAGGGTCAGGTGGGGGCGGAGTGGAAGGCGCAGGGCGCGCGGCCCCAGGGCCACTCCCTCGCCTCAAAGGGTTCCTGCAGGGCCCCGGGGCCACCAGTGAACGACTGGGGACGAAAAGCCGGTGCCCAGGGGTCTCGGGGGTCCACGCTGCGAAGATATCTCGGCGTGGGAGGTCAAGGCCAATGCCCCCGGGAGCCTCCGGGGTCCCTCCGAGGGGCCCCTGGGTATCCCAAGCCTGTCGCAAGCATGCGCGAGCCTCGAGCTTCGATCTGCGCATTCGGATGCAACTCCTGGGAGGTCAAATTCTGATTTTGCCCTGGTCCGAGCTTAATCCGGCTTAATCCCGCAAAATCCCGCTGAATCCGAGGCCCACTCCGGCGTAACAGCCCCCAATGGGGCTTAATCCTCCCTAGCGCTTCCGACGAAGGCCTCCCAGTAGTTGCCTCCTGATGCGCAGGAGCCTCCGCGAATGCCAGGATGTCCGTCGGAGGTCTCCGTCTCTGGAGGTCTCAGGAGGAGGAGGAGGAGGAGGAGGAGGAGGAGGAGGAGGTCTCAGTCGGGGAAGGTTCCATCATGGTCCCCGCGCGCCGTCTGGGGGCCCTCGGGCAGCGGAGAACGGGCCCCACAACAGATGCCCTGGGCAGTCCGAGCGGCCGGTGCCGCCGACCCTGAAGGGGGGCGACGACGACGACGGCGGCGGTGGCGGCGGCGGCGACGACGACGACGTTGACGCCCTGGAGCCCGTCGCGGGATTCCGTTGGGAGCTCATTTGGGCTCTGTTGGGGGTGCCTCTCGGGGGACTTCTGGGGAAGCTCCGTGGCCACTTGGAGCTGCCTCGTCGCGGACCTGAGGGCTCTTGGAGGCATGCGGGATGTGGGAAAGTACGCAGCACCCCGCAACAGCAGATGAGGTCGAGGAGGATGCCTCCCGGGGTGTCGGTGGTCCTTGTGTCCAGAGGGGTGCGGCGGGGGGAGGGAAGGGAGCAAAGGGAAGCGGCGTCCTTTCGAGTCAATAACGACATTCTTTGATTTCTATTTGGCTGGATCGCTTGAGGAGGAGGGCCCATGGAAAAGGGGGAGCGGCGACGGCGACGACGACTCAAACTGAAAGACGTCTCAACGAAACGCTGCTGAAGAAACTCAAACAACATTCACCATTCCGCAAATCGATCTCTACATCACGGGATGCACACCTGGCCTTGGCTCTGTCACGGAGCGCCTCGTTGTGCACGCGCCTTCGATCCCGTGGGCGAAAAACACATCCGTATCCGCGTCCTCGTGGGCCAGGCTCTTGGGCAACGACCCCGCGGGTACGGGTTGTCTTTTCGCGGATACCCCGCGCGGAACGTATCCGTGTGATTGCTTATCTGCGGGGTCGTGCCCCGGAGTCCAGACCGCGAGGGCGCGGGTGCAGGTATGCTGCCGCTCGTGACGATCCTGGATCCTCTGGCCTCGATCCCCTTGCCCGCGATGCCCGCCAGGGGGCGGCACGCCTGCGGCTGGGCCTCCTTGTGGCGGGCGGCCACCGCCCGCCTGTGGACCTCGGGCCGGCTCGCGCTGTCGGCCTGGAGGGCGTCCCACCTGCAGGCCCCCCTTGGGCGGGAGGAAGCTTCGTCTAGGCCTCCTGGATGGGGTCCGAGTAGATGGGGTCACAGGATCGCGCCGCATCGCCGATGCATCGCCGATGCGGTTCGATGTGGAGCCCGATTTGCTTCACGTCGAGGTTGCCGATGCATCGCCGACGTCAGCGATGCGTCGCCAGCGCATCACCGATGCATCGCCGCATCGCCGATGTAACGGCGTTGCGGCGCGATCCTCCGACCACGTCTACTCTGACCCCATCAATGAGGCCACTACTTAGGTGATGTCAAAGGGCTGGGGACCTGTTTTGCAGCTTTCAGGGTCGAGGTTGTCGTTCCCCCGTTTTGAGGTAAGTTGTTGCCCCGTCTTGGGATTCTCGTTCGCGCCGTTTTCGGTTAGGTTATGTGTAGTGGTTCAGTTGTTGTTGTTGGTGGTGGTGGTGTTGGTATTGGTGTTGTTGCTGTTGTTGGTGTAGCTGTTGTTGTCATTGTTGTTGTTGAATACTCATGTCCTGAGAATAAGTATTGCTGATCTCGGGAAACGGTTCCGCGCGCTCTCGCCTCGACGCCGGCTACATTTTCTCTGAAAACGAGGCTCCCGTTCGAGCGTTGGCTTGACCCCTAAATGTGGGCCCTTGGAGACCCAGCTACGACAACAATGGCTTCCGTCGAGACCTCCTCGCAATTGAACTAAATTGGCGGAGGCCCAGCCACGACGACAAGGGCTCCTGCTCGATACTACCTCACGATTTACTCCGAGAACCCCTGGCCAAGAAGGCCCCCCAACTCAGGAACGGCGCTCTTGTTCGAGACTTTCCCGTAATTCAGGCAAGTTGGTGGAGGCCCGGACACGGCAAGGGCTCCCGTTCGATATTTCTCCTTAGGTATTCCGAGAGCCCCTGGCCAGAGAGGCCCCCGAATTCAGGAACGGCGATTTCGCTCGAGACTTCTTCGCGCGTCAATCAGTGGCCGACAAGGAAGAAATTCCCCCCGAAAGGGGGTGCAATCGAAGACGAAGTGGGCGGGTATAGAGGGTTGGGGTATACGGAATGCAAGACACGCTTCCCATTCAGGGCGAACAGTCTTAAATTGATTGTCGTTGTTGTAAAATTTTCATATCTGAAGAATAATGATTGTTGATGCCCCCCGTCCGGTGCACATTGCTTTTTCGATTGAAGTGCCCTTCCCGGGGCTCGCATCCTGTTTTTTAGCAGGGAGAGCCTTGAGGGTCAAGCTGCGTTGTTGGCCCCCGGTTGCAACAACGGCTCCCGCCTGATTCTTCTTCACAATGTATTGAAGAATGGCGCTCTCGCTTGGCACTTCCTTGCAATTTGCCACCAGATCGCGGCTCCCGCTTGATATTTCGACACATTTTTTTTGAATTATCGCGCTTTCACTTGGGGCTTCCGCGCTCCTCTCGACACGGTTGCGGTTCTCGCTATCCTTCCGCCCCACTCTCCAAACATTCCGGTTTCTTTAGGGTTCCACGAAATTTGTTTCTGGCACCAGTTCGCAGTTGTACGTCCCCCCGTCGGGGTATCCACGATATGTTCTTTCAAGGGGGTGGTACGTGGCGTTGTTTATGGAGCGACCCATGGCGAAACTTATTCTTAAATTGTGTTGGAGTGGCTGGCGCAAGCCATGGCGCAAACTGAATCGCCACCCGCAGCGCAAATCATCGTCCTCCCTCCTTTTTGCCCCTTCCCCGCCCTTCCTCCGATCCCTTCGTCCTCATTATCCCCCGTTATCTGTTACCCTTCGTTTTCGAGGGCTTCACAAACCACACATGGCAGGGAATGGATATATAAAAAAGTGGCACGATCGAAGACGAAGAGGGCGGTGATCCAGGGTTTGGGATATGCATATTGAATGACACGCGATCAGATACGAGCGAACAGTCTTAGAATGATTGTTGATGCTGTTGTTGCTGTGGGTGCTGTTCTTGCCGTTGTCAGCGGTGTTGTTCTTGCCCTTGGTATCGTTATTGTTGTAGCTGGTGGTGGTGGTTGGTGGTGGTGTTGGTGTTGGTGTTGTTATGTCGTGATGTTGTTATGTTGTTATGCTATTATGTTGTTATGATGTTTGGACGTTGTGTTTGTTTCCGTCTTGGTTGGCAAGAAGCAGAGACACGTTGATCACGCAAAAACCCCAAAACGCCCCCAGCGTGTACGCATCACCTAGGTGAGAGGAGGAGGGCCAGTCGAGCATACGGTATCATTCCCTGCGTCGTTCGTTTTTTTTTACCTCCCGGGGGGTTCTCGTCGCCACGGCGAAATCCATTTCGAAGAACGGGCCAGGGTTGACCCCGGGAGGAGTCCAGGAACTGATTGTGAGCGGAATTGGGCTGGGTGGGAGAGCTTCCATTATCTCAACTGGTCCTCCTCCGAGAGGGGGCCCAGGGGGGGAGGGGGAACAAAGAGGAGAAACCACATTTGCGCAATCATAAACTTTCAGGGGCATGCGCCTCTTTTCACATAGGGCGCGCCGCGGGGTCTTCCGGACAGGGGGTTGCGAAGCAAGCAAGCGCAGGCGCGTTGAAGCCCCCGAAGGGCATGATCCGTGTGAGTGGTTAGCCGAGATGGGCGAGAGGCGGCGTGCGGGCGCCCCACTTGGACTTTAGATGGAGCTCCCTGTGCAGGGCTCGGAACGTGTGAGGGTGTGCCGAAACAGGCGGGGCGCCGCAGGTGGAGCTTCATGTGGGACACGATCTGGGCGAGAGGTGGGCGGTATGCAGGCGCGCCGGCTGGGGCTGTAGGTGGAGGTGGAACTCCCTGAGCGGGCTCGAAAAGTGTCGGGGGTGTGCCGAAATAGGCGGGGGGTGGCATGCGTCCGCGGCGCCGCTTGGGGTCGCATGTGGAGCTCACTGTGGGACACGATCCGATTGAAGGGGTGCCGAAACGAGTGCGCCGGGGCTCAAGCATTCTGCCTATAGGGCCGCAGGTGAAGCTCCTCCTGCTGCACTATCCATCCGAGGGGTGTGCCGACATTGATCAGAAGACACAAAAGTAGGGAGAGGAAGGACAGGAATAATATCAGGGGGAGGGGGAGTGAGGAGTGAGGTGCCGCACTGCGGATTAAAAACGAGAACCGAATACGTCAGGTGGGCCTCACGCGGAAATACCAGGCACGAGACAGGGCAACCCTCGGATCACATGGCCTGCTCATCGGGCATCGCCGCAGCACGCCTTAGCCGTAGCCATGTTGGAGAGGAACATGATGAGGGTAAGGATGAGGTCGATGTGAGTCGTGCGCGCGAGAGGACTACTGATCGTGGTCAGGCAGACAGGTACGGGCTGGAGCGAAGCACTTCTGAAAGCCCAGGGCCAGGGTCGGAGTTCGGTGCGGAGGCGCAGACAAGTGTACGAGGGGGAGGTAGAGGAGACGAGAGGAGGAGGAGGAAGAAGAAGAGGAGGCGGGCTAAGGAGGCGGAGGAGGAGGACGACGCCCCAGAGGAGGTTGCGGTGAGCAGGAGGAGGAGGAGGAGGAGGAGGAGGACAATCAAAACGAAAACGAGGACGAGGGAGGATGGATGGTGACGGGACGGGGGCGGGCGAGAGGGAGGACAAGGAGGATATGGACGGCGGGACGGCTCCTCGGACCCCCCCCTGTTCTGCCCGAGGGTGCCCGATGAGCCGTGAGTTCAGATCCGATGCCGCTGTGGCCGGCTGCCCCGTCCAGGGCCGCGTGCGCGTCGGAAGAAGGTCGACTGCGCAGACATTGGCGCGGAAGCTTCCCGCGTAAGGTCGCGTGTCAGTGCCTTCGTTTCCAAGGTAGCGTGCCGCGCTGCCGGCCCGCGGAAGCCACCGCGTAAGGTCGCTGGGTCATCTCGCGTACGACCCGTTGTCGTCGCTCACGTGGGAGTCGTGAGTTGACGGAAGGGCTTGCTACCTCCCCCGCGCGTGGGTCCCGGAGCGGAAACCTTTGGAAGCCTCTGGAGGCCGAAGAAGGATTCTTTGAAAGGCTTGAAGTTTTCAGGAGCGGCTAAGGGAGAGGGGACGAGGAGGATGACGACGAGGGAGACGCCGACGAGGGCCAAGACGAGGAGGAGATCGCCGACGGGAGGTCTTGGGAGGCCCCCGGGTCGGAGGCCTCTGGAAGGCTCTAGAGGTCCGAAGCGCATGTTTGAACAGCATGCCCCAGGCGTCCATAAGCGCCCAAGGAGGGTGAAGACAAGGAGGAGGAGGGGGAGGAGGAGGAGCAGGAGGAGGAGGAGGGGGAGGAGGAGGAGGGGGAGGTGGAGGAGGAGGAAATGGGGGGAGGAGCATACCGAAGCGATACTGAACGGCCGCGCGAGGCTGTGGAGGAGCGGCGCCAGCAGGCCTGGATGGTCAGGCGCCGCGGCCTCTGTTGAGTCCAGGCTCGGGAGGACGGCAACGGGGGTGGAGGGGGCAATAATCGTTGGGGGGACCAAGGATTGCAGGACAGTGCCCCTTACGGCCCCTACCCATCGGTCACTGAAAGTAGGCAGTTTTGGAGTCCCAGATCGCATTCTACTTTAGCCGCCTTCCTACTTCAATGATCGAGTGGCTTCACCTTTTCCGTCCTCTTTAGGGAGTGCGCGGAAGCCCAATCTACTTTCAACGCTTTCCTATTTCGTGTTTCTACCAACTTCTTCCGACCGATGGGTAAGCTTCCAGCACGGGCCCAAAGGAGGCACGATAGGTGCGCGTTTCTCCTCCCCACGTGAATTGCCCCCCGGCCCCCCCATTGACGCACGCCCAAGGGACGAGGGGGATTCTGAGCCAGGAGAAGCGACAGCACGGAGATCTACGGTTAAGTCGGGCACGTCCTTCTACAGGAGAAATATTCAAACATAGTCGACAAATAGTCAGGGGACGATGCTTCCATTATGTTTGATCATGTTTGAGTTCGTTTGTGTATTTTTTATAGTTCGTCCAAGACCCGATTGTAGTGGGACATGCCCGACCTAAATTCACGGTGCTTTCCCGGGCTGGAGATCGGAAATGCATCGAGCGGAACGCGAAAAAGAAAGGACTCCAAAAGGACTCCACACCGCCGGGACCCTTGATGACCGCGATGGTTGTGGTGGTGCCGATATCCCTTGTCCCTAGGAGTGGGCTGAGAGGGTCGAGTATCGTGGGCTTCCTCGCGTCCTCTGGTTTCGAGGATCGAGAGTCCATATTTCGTCCATGTTTCTGGACGTGTCTGGATGGGAATAGCCGAGAGGAGCGACCGAGGATCAAGGACGTCCTCGAGGATCGAGGTGTCTGGATGTCTGGTCTCTTTTTTCTTCCCCCCGCCCCTGAATGAGCAAGGCAGCCAACACCGTTGGTCGCGTTGCGCATTCATAACCGCAGCCCGACGATAATAAGGAACACCCCCCTTCAAGTGTTATACCTGATTCGCCCTGGGGCGCCTTATATGTGATTATCCACACCAGGCGGGTAGGCCGAACACCATTACCACCCCCAACTGTCCTACCGTAGCTCTGATTTCCATATCATGCATAGCGCCATGAGTACTCCAGATTTCGTAATAAAAGGGAGGGGGTCTGGACCCTCCAAGACAAGCCATTTCAGACCCCCCCCCGTGGGAGAACCCTCCAAAACATCGTCCCCAGACCCCCCCAGGCCCTCCAAGATATATTGGAAGAGACCCCCCCCGAATCCAGACCCCCTCCCTTTTATTACGAAATCTGGAGTAATCCTTCTTGCTAGTTCTGTGAGGATGTCTCACATGCGCATGTTCGAAAAGTCGTTATATTCGCGAGTATCATCTGTTCGAGGATGTCCATCATGGAGGCCCTTGAAGACCGATCCAGACATCCTGACTGCGATATCTACGGGACAACAATATAATCCTTTCTCGACCCCGAACTTGATTTTCTCTGCGGGATTTCTATCGCTGGCACAGGGTTAGGCACGGGTCCGGGGGTCAGGCCGAGGGGTGTGGTCCGAGGGAGGGTGTCGGCGAAGGGGGAGTCAGGCTCGAAGGGGGAGTCAGGCTCGACCGACGGGGGGGGATCAGGCCAGCAAGAGCACGTCAGGCCAAAGGGGGACCAAGCCGGGAAGGGGTCTGGGGGCCAAAGGGGTGTGTCAGGCCAAGTGGTACGCCTACCGAGTGCAGCCGTTCGGGTCGTCGGTTTCGATGTCGCGTACGTTTCGGGGTGGCCACCGAGAGTGGAGGGGGAGCTGGAGGGAGGATGGGTGGGTCAGGCTTGTCAGGTGATGGGCCTGTTTTCCACCACCACCACCACCATAAGTTGGAGGGGGAGGTTGTCCTCCTCCTCCTCCTCCTCCTCCTCCTCGTCCTCCACCTCCGCCTCCAACTTCTGGTGGTGGTGGTGGTGGAAAACAGGCCCATCATCAGGGGTTCAAACGCGCCCTGCACTCGGTGTGTCGCCAGTCCCACCAAATCACAGGTAGGGCTCGTGCGCACCCGCAGAGTAGCAGCCACGATTGCATGATTGGGTGGAGAGCACTCACAGAGAGCATGTCAAACTGATTGTGGCACACACACACGCTTACGATGCTTGTGCAAGTTTAGACCCAAGGGCCCCTGCTCACCGAACATGTGCAATGTAGGTTATGTGCACCACGACAGCTGCTGATGTCTCCGGGAAGCCTGCCAGCATTTCAATGGTCACCCGAACAGCCCTACAAAGACGCGCGCTTATCGAGTTATTGCGGGACGGAGTTTTTGCCAGGTGCGCAAGGGAACTCGCACAGCAACAGGGGCTTGTGTGCACATGATCACGTGAGGATGCAGACGATGGTCAGTGTTTCTTCTCGCGGCGCTTTCTTGCCCAGATCGAGCTTAATTAGTTGTGGCAGACGAGGGGGGGCTTCACGAACAGTCGCAATGATCTTAGTGAGTGATGGGACCTTGGTTAAGGCCGCCTGGCAAATCGAGGTTGCACATGGCAAGGCCAATTCACAGAACTTATAATCCACCATGTATTCGTTTACGCCCGTCTCGGACACTTGGACCGCGGGATTACACCGCAAACAATAACACGACAATTTGCACCCAATCATGACGATGACACTGAGAGGGGGACTCAAGGGGACGTCAGGGGGTGAGGCCAGGCCAGGGGGGGTCAGGCCGATAGAGGGGGGTGATCCGGGGTGGGTCCACCGAGTCATCTTGGTTCGGGTCTTCAGTTTTGGGCTGGCCGAGTGAGGATGACAAGGAGGAGGAGGAGGAGGAGGAGGAGGAGGTGGTGGCGGGCGAACATGGGAGAGGATAGTGTGGGTGATGAGGCGAAGGCGGGAGGACATTGAGAGAAATGATGAGGTAGAGGTAGACAGGAGGAGGAGGAGGAGGAGGAGGAGGAGCACCAGCAGCAGCAGGAGGATGGCAGATGAGAGTGATACGGGGGGCAATTCGACGAATGGGGTTGGGTGGGGTGGGGTTTGGGGACGACAGCGGAGGAGGGGAGACGGGGGACGATGTAATGGAGGAGAAGGTGGAGGACGAGTTGTTGTTGGTGATGCTGGATAGTGTTAAGTGTGCAGGGGCTGTGGTGGGCAACCATGGGGAGGAGGAGGAGGAGGAGGAGGAGGAGGAGGAGGAGGAGGAGGAGGAGAACGAGGAGGAGGAGGAGGAGGAGGGGGATGGGGATGAGGAGGGGGAGGAGGAGGAACAGGAGGAGTTGAACAGGCCGCCACTCTGTGTCGAACCTGTGGGGTTGGCCCCCCCCGCGCGCGCGGCCTTCGGTAGATCCGCATGGCGCGTGCCGTATGGTGCGTCGCCTTCATGGGGGGGATGCCACGCGCCCATCGTGGCGTAACGATCTCACAATACAACCCGCAATCGGCAAATTCGGCTCGCAGCATGGACATCGTGGACGAACTGCGCAATGCTAGCATCATAGGTCTGATCGGGACCCAGCAGGAAGCAAGCGAGGGCAATCACGAATCTAGAGTACAACGGGGTCACTGACCACTTGAGTTTGCTGGATGGTTGGGCAGCACATCGATCATACGCTTGGGGTGAGAATCTGTATCAGGCTCACCCTAGTCGCTCCAAGGCAGATCCGTCGCTTCTTTGGTATACTCCAGGGAAGCCAATGGCGTGTGGGAGGTGTCCGGCTCGAGCGTGCGGAAATGCGGCGAGCCGTCATTGTTGTATTACCCCTGCCAATGTTCAGAGGAGTGGAACAGCGAAAACAGTGAACCGAAACGGTGGAGGCGATGATCTGGATCGCGCATGCTCTCACGATTGTTTCGGCACGGTGGACTCCCATCATCTTGTTTGATGCGAATGGGCAGTTCGAGCTTTTCGCTGGCACGACAGTCGCTTCCGGCACGGGTAGCGTGAACACCGCGACGGAGTGTTTGTCGCCACTGTTTCAGGCGCGCAACCCTGTAGTAGTCAGCGCCGAGCATCATGCAGGTGACACGTGTTATGGACGGAGTCTGTGCTGCAGGTGTTTGGCGATATTGTGTGATCACGAGAAACAGCTGACAACTTGGATTGTTTCCACGGTTTTGCACGGAGCGCATGGCTCCTGCAAGCGCACCATAACTCACGGATGTGGGACCATGTACAGGTTGTTCGCAGAATGCCTCTCGAGCGTGTGCAGAAAATTCGTCACGCGACGCTGGCCCCGCAGCTGAATGGCGATGCTCGCTCACTGGTGTTGCCGCGAGGGTGGGGAAGGGCTTCCAGTGTTCTGCAGGTTGAACGCTGGGAGAATGCCAAGTGGGAGCGGGTTTCCATTTTTCCATCGTCGCTGGCAATGGATACCGCCCACAAGGCCCTAATGAAGACATGCCGTCCAAACGCCACCGATTGTTTCGCAGAGGGCCTTCTCCACAGAGGATCGCCCCAAACGCGCTGCTGAGGTCACCCCTCCTATTCCGTCAGCGCAGACCTTACCCAGTCAGAGCAGAGATATCCGGTCGCAGCTTGCAGAGCCTGGGGCTCAGAGTTGCGCTGTTGCCGAGGTCTTTGCATTGCGTTCGGGATTCGCAGAGCAAGAACACGAGCGATCTGGTTCTGGCGGCGAAGGGCCCGCGCGCGGCCATCCGAAACGCCGCCGAGATGAACGGCGGCTATATGATACCTAAGCTGGTCCGCATGTTAGCTCGGACGAGAAGTGGGGGAAGGAACAGGGCGCGTCGCGCGCGAGTGGAGGGCGCGGCGGGGGGAATGGGGCAGGAAGGCGGACAAGGCCGTGCCCGAGGGAGGGCGCGTGGTGACGCCGAGGCACGAAGGTGACTGGAAGCAGCAGCGCTACCGGAGCTTGCGGCGGCCAGGTGAGGTCTCCACGGATGCTCTCGAGGAGGATTGCGACCGTCTTGCCCATGCACTCTGGGAAGCTTGACTGCGGATGGCGAGTCCGCAGTGGAGCTGCAAAGTGGAGA